AGCACTGAATGGATAAAAGAACACGTAGCGTTGGTTCGAGAAATTGCAACTGGTTGAAATTGGATCAAATATTACAGTTAGGTATGTAAAATACAATCTGTGTTTATTTAGTATTTTATTTAATGACAAAACTAATATAATTAATAAAATAATTAAAAAGGGCAACAGATTATATGTTCTAGGTAAGAAAAAAAGTATATATGATGGTTTGAATACTGAAAAGATGGATAAGAATATGCTTTTCGTTACAAAATTGAATATTTTTTAGGGTTTGTATACAGAGGGTAACGAAAGATTAAAGAAGAAAAGTTTATGAAGTTAATATTTAAAGATCAAAAATATATTTATAGCTAATTCGTTGTTATTCATAGATATTTTTTGATTTTATTTTTTTACTGGTCGGTTACCATGAATAATAAAAAAAATTAAATAAATAATTTACCACAATAACCGAACATACAACGTTTAGATTATCTCTTTAACAGCAGTTACAATATTTTTTATTGAGTGCATAATATTTGTTTGACTCTGAAAGTAGAACATTAAGTTCATTTATAACATATAAGTTATAAAGATGTTTTTCGAACCGTAATTTGCCGTTTTTGCCGAACCAATTTTTCGTTGCAATTGAATTCATCGAATCATTACATAAAGCTGTTTAATACCCCGTAATATTTATAAAACTGTTTGTTACAAAAAATAATGAAGTAGTTTAAGACGTAATGAATACACGTAATAAAATTGCCCCGACAGCTGCAGTAGCTTTTACCAATTAAAATCATTAATTTATTCCATTAGTTTGTAAATTAATGAAAATTGTTTTTTCTATTACGAATCGTATTTTAATTATGTCTTAGTTAATCGTATAACCGAGTATTTATATTCTTAACGTTTCTTTTTTCTCGCTACAGTTACTAAAACGTGATGTCGGAATTAACTATTATTATGAGAAACTTCACTTACCATAAATCATAGTGACGCACAGCATCATCGCATTCAAAAAATACGAATGCCACTTAATTTTCTTTAAATCAGCCATCATTAAAAACAACTAATTAACAACACTATTATTTATTTTCACACCCTTTTCCTTTTCATCGTCACTATTTAATATTCCTTAATTAGTTCCGAGCCGTGTCACAACTTATTCCAACGAATGTCACTAATCCCTGCATTTAAATAGACAAATGTCAGAAAAAAAGTTGACATGTCATTTATTATCTATTTTTAAACGGCCATCACATATATCGTTTCTAGTTTATCGCAACCGCGTGTAAGGATTATAGTAAACATACTAAGAATAAACTTAAAATTGTTTAAGTGATAAATCTCATAAACACTTTTCAACTGTTCATTCACTTCATTTCCGTTATATTTTTAAACAAAACACTTGTCACTTTCATCCTTTCAACGAATCGTTACGAGTTCAAATTATGTTTGTATTTTTTGTGAAACGCTGTACGTCCGATCGCCTGGGAAGCTTGGATCGCACTGACTTACATAAGGGATCATTCCTTTGCCAGCAAACCGGGGTAAACGAGAGGGATGGACGACAATTTCCCGACCGATGGAAAAGGATGGAAGGAATTTTCGCATTCGACTGTGGTCCACTAAAACCTACTGTGAAAATCTTGTGAAGAAGCAATTAAAATGTATATAAAGCTGCAAGAAATACATTTGGTCAGCATACATTACTTCGTGACTTGGTTATTTTAATTGATATCATTATTTTTATTCATGAAAGTAAAAAGAAACGCGCTTGCTTCCAACCATCAACAAAACATAAAATTTTTAAATAAATTGTTAAAACAAGATTTTTATAATATCTTATATGCTATATTTTAATTATTGTTTTTCTTACCTTTTTTACCATAAAATATTGATAAAATGTCATTTATTTACATTGCTAATCATGAAGAAGTTTTTTTAATCAAAATATGCCTGACAGTTTAAAAAAAATATTGGGCAAAACCAGCGTCATTTTATCCAGGATTCAGCCTTAGCGTTGAGAACCGAACGTAACATAATAACACATAATATATGGGTCAAGAGTTAGTTTATTACGTTAACTGATATTTATAAAATATGTTATTTTAAGTCTAAAGGTAAAATGGAAAAGCTTAGGTAACGATACTCCGACGGTGCTTTAATTAAATTTATGGTATTGACCCAAAAACTGTAAACATTGCTTTCATTTATTTTTTGACTAATTACGTAGTAAATTTAGTTCAGTGATTTGATAGATATTTTAATTCATAAGAAGTAGTCTTTGTTTTATTTTTTACATTTAACACATTTCATGATGTGACTGTCCCTAATATTTTGCTACAATATTCGTAGCATATTTCTATACATATACCTACGAAACAACCTCCTTACAAACATTGTGTAAAACAAAAAACTTGGCGATTAAAAAAATTGCTGTAGAGTTTATTGCCAGTTCTTCTCTTCCATTCTACGCCCTTGATTTGAGAGCTGGCAGTAAATGTAAAATCAGAAGCATTTATTATCTATTTATATTTTGACGTACATTGTGTTACCTATATGAATAAATTATTTTGATTTGATTTAATTTGAATATTTATCATATATGTGTATATACGAACTATTCAATTATACATAATTAGGAAACTTTCATATTCATTAAATAAATAGAAATATAGTATCGTAGAACGAGCTTAACATTGTTCCTTTATTTTGCTGTATAATTATCGCAGGCTCATTAGGCGGCCCCATTTTTCTTCCCATTGAAAATAATTTTTGTCGTCTATCAGCCGAACAAAAAGATGATTTATTTTCTCTGATGATATCAGCTAGAATTAGGCTTGCTTTGTGATGCGAATCAATTGACAACTATTGTTTCTTTATTCTTTTATTTTCTCTTTTGATGTGTTTTTGTTTCTGACTCTTGCGGTTCTATGTATTTAATAAGTAAATTTTAACATTTACTATTCTCCCTCCTGTTAATGTTTAGGACTACGTACGAAATTTTAGAAAGATACATATTCGTACACATGGCGTGATGGCGCTTGATAGACAGTACCTTAAAAATTAACAACTAATTATTGCACAGTTAAAACAACAATACAGCAACGCACGAAGAGCATGATGTAATGGTTACAGCCCTGCGATTCTGTAACTCACTTTTCGAATTCACACAGCGGTTTTCGCATCAGCGGTCGGTCTCAAATCAGTCGTGAAGCAGTCATTTTATGATTTGGCATTCTGATAAACAATAAACTACAAGGTCCCACCTTTTCAGAATGCCAAATCATAAAATGACTGCTTCACGACTGATTTGAGAGCGACCGCCAATGCAAAAACCGCTGTGTGAGTTCGAAAAGTGAGTTACAGAATCGCAGGGCAGGTCCATACAAACATTTAAAAAAACACGTTATCCAATTACAAGAGTGACAGATTTTTGCCAGTTCTTCTAGTCCGTTATTTGCTGATTCAAGAACTAGCAATATAAGTAAATTTAGAAGCAATATTTATTTACCTACGTGAATAAAATTATATTTTAATTTTGATTGGTTCAAACGAAGTTAAATATTAGCTGAATGACTATCAATATTATTCTAATTAATAAGCATTACTTAGGCATTTCATGTTTCTAATGAGATATAAATATTAATTTAAAGACAAGGGCCGACTAAGTTATATTGATTTAGGCTTAAATCAGTGAACAAGGAAAATGTAAATTCTGTCGGGTAATCTGAAAGCTTATTATAATTAACTGCAGTGATCATGTTACGTTGTTACTCTTTACATAAAGAGGTGAGCTTTATTTAGGCAAAACTATATATCGTGATTTCATCCGGGTTGAATAACTAAAACGTTTTGTACCAGTGAAGTTCTAGATTTTGTTATTACGCTCAACAAACTTAATTTTGACATCTTTAATATTATTAGGTGCAGTACTTGCAGCTAAGCGTGACTCTCAACCTTTAGGTCTATCGTTTGAAGCTAGGTTGTATACTAATAAAGTCTTAAACACAAAAATCGACGATTTGTCATATTGGCTGATTACCATACTATAAACCGCCACGAGGCCCTTGGGTCTACGTAGTATGTGTGTGAGAAATCCCATCAGCGGAAATATATAAATTTTACTTGGAAGTTATAAAATAGCCATAAACCAATGAATGTCATGTTGATGCTGATTTATTTTGCGTAGTTTGATTTAATTTATCACAGTTTAAGCGACTTTGATGGGACCATATTTTGTTAAGCCATTGCGAATCGTCGATACGCATAAATTTAACTTTTGAAATTACACATAAGTAGAAAAAAGTAGTCATTCGGTTTCATTTGATTTGATGTTCAATGTGTAATTGCATAATATTTCAAATTGTTATTTCAATTCATTGAATGTGAACGCACAATATTCTGATTCAATAATTAAAATAACTACGATGAATGAAAATAATTTATTACACAGCTACGAAATGTAATTTAATAATTTTACTTTTTAAATGAATTTATGGCATGTGTCTTAATTCGGTAAGGATATTGTTTTTGAAATTTGTTATAAAAAACCAAAGTCAAACCACAATTTTTGTTACCTATATTTTCCAATTCCCTTTCAACTAATTATTATCTGTGATCGTATATGTGTTTCGTTGCCACTATTAAACGAATATTTAGTTTGCGGTATAGATTCGGGGTGAGCGAGGTAGATTGGAAATCAAAAGATAAAACAATGGCTATGTTTGATTGTGATTAACCAACAGTAGCAAACGAACAGACTACAAAGCCCTATTACCCGATAATATAAGGTCGCGGCACAGAGTCAGGGAAAGTCTAAAGATGAATATATCTAAAAACAAAGCAAGAACGAACCTCTAGTGGGTCTGATGCCATCTACGACCGGTAGATATAGTATAGACCTAAGTATAAATCTGGGACATAAGATGGGATGTGACGCTTAGCCTGACCTGTGTAGATGCATATCGCAGGCGTGAGCGACGACGGCAAGACCAAGTGCCTCCTTCCTGTCTTTATATACAGAGCCCGACACACACAACTATCAGCCAAGAACTTAACATTTGCATATAAGAAGGAAGAAGGAACCAATTCTGGGCATCTCCCTTCGCAACCGTATTCGCGAAAAAGCTATTCGAAAAAATACAGGTGTAAATGATGTAGTCACTAAGATCTTGAGCTTGAAATGGTGGGCGGGCCATATAGCGCGCACGGACAAGACCCGGTGGACCCGAAGGATCTCTCTCAAAATAGAGTCCTTGGCAGAACAAAAGACCGCCTGTCTGCCCACCGGCGACATGGACTGATGACATCTCAAAGTATACAGGCTGCAAATAGAGCCATAGGCCTACGTCCGAAGAAGGATCTAAAATAATGGCTGACGATAAATCAACAGTCATACTCTCTCATTCAACGGTAGTTTTGGTAAAAAGAACTATATACTATAAGTGAGGTTTATTTTTTATCAACCTTTATAGATATACCGCTTACCGAAAATTTCATATTAATAATTTCATGACTCAAAGTTTACCCACAAATAGTCGTACGACGACAGTTGACAGTCGGCTAATTAAATTGACAAAAGTAGCTCTCGGATCGCCAATTAAGGCAGCGATGAAAAGCAGACGTTCGTTAAATCGCCATGGATTTATTTTCGAAGAGGATATCTACTAATATTTAGACCAATGGGCTTATTGGTTTTTCATATTTGGTTAAAACTAAAATAATTTTTACAGACTTAACAATATGTGAAAGAGAATGTATGTAGGGTGTGGGTTTGTATTTATGTGTGTAACTAAAGCCTGTGTGTTAAAATCGGCTTAATTTAGTGACATTAAATGTCTGATAGTGTTTTAAAGGATATCGTTTTTGAATGAGTAGCGAGGGGAATTAAATAATTAGATTTAAATAATTAAATAGACCGAGTCATGTGTATGTCAAGGTTTCAAATTCAGTACATTTTGTAAGCGTATTGTGTTCGCTTTCTTTAATGTTTTCGGGTTGTTAAAAAGTGCTAGAAAATTAATAAATGAAATTGAATCTAAATAAAGAATTGTTGCCGATAGAGTGTTCACCAACCCTTTATAGTTTTATTGGATGCCTGTTTCGTATTCAAAAGCAAATTAGCCGTATTATTTATAGATAGAGTATATCCATATTTGTTAATGAAAGTATGTGTCAAATAATGAAGTTAAAATTGGCAAAGCAGTTTTTGTTCTTACTAGTTACCTATAATCAAGATTTGATGACCAAACAAGGAATTGACAAAAGGAATTGTTGGTAGCTTCCATTTGTTTAAGTATAATAAATTAAATAAACCAGTGGCACTAGAATCGTTTAAACTGAAACTCAAAATATCCTTATTCATATAGGTAAACAAACACACTTATAAAGAAGTTAAATTAATTTTAAATTTACATTTACTACCAGTTCGCAGGTCAAGGGCGTAGAGCGGGCAAGAAGAACGGCCAAGAAACTCTCCGCCACTCTTTTTAATTGCTAAGTTTTGAATCATACAAATTGTATGAACCAGAGCAAATCAATCCCAAGGATTAGGATAATTTAAATATTCGTCAAATTTATATAAAGCTTTATTGATTAATTTACGTTTACGAGAGTTTTGAATTAAAGTTTGGGCCACAGATTTCTATATCTGTTTCATGATCATTTGTTTTTTATCTAATAGGCAAGTGAACAGCCTGCTGTGCCTGACACACGCTTTCACCTTTCGGGTCTAGGGCATTCCGCTTTCCTGACGATGTTTTCCTTCACCGTACGACCGAGTGTTAAATTCGCACAGAAAGTACATTGGTGTACAGCTGGGGATCGAACCTACGACCTCAGGGATGCCAACTTCATGAAAACCGAAATAGGTAATATACGTGTTTTTTTTATATTTATTAAAGCAATCAATATAGCGTACTATGTACCTATAGCAAAAACCATTTTCAGAAACTATTAACGAAAATTCATTACGATTTAAGTGCTTTGTTAATGTTTATTAAAATAAATATCCTTTGACTTGTCATACTGTAAAAATATAAATTCTGTTTTAAGAATTCTGATACAATTAGATTCCTTTTCTAACTGAGGGATTAATTAATTGACAGAATTGGCCAGAGGAAGTGTAAAGAAGTAAAAGAAGCTTTGTTAATGTTATGTCACACAAAAACAACTTGAACAATTTCAAGTTCATTGTTCAATGATACGAGTGGACAAAGCATTTATTAGCGGAAGTAATACTGTCAAAGTGTGTTCCTTCAAGCACTGATTTCGATTTGATTTAGATCGTGGATAAAAGAAATGTATTTTATTGAAGTACATACGAAAAAGCACTTTAATACAATGAGTGAAGGTACATAAGAGAATAACGAAGACGTGACCAAAATAGTCAAAGACAATGCGAGGGAGACGAATTTATAATTAACTGCAATCAACACTGGCGTATAGAATTTCGAGTATTTGGGACTGTCGCGTTCATAATAATTGTCTTTTTGATATTTTGCATTATATTTATTGCTATTAATATGGTGTTAAATTTAATGCACTGAATAACATATTCAGTGTGTTTCATATAATTCGAACTGGTAATTATTACGTTATAAGTAAATATATAAAATTGTTTATTGTACTGTATTTATTGTATTATAAATACCAATGCTATTCAGGCAAATAAATACGTGTCTAATCTTAATTATACCGTAATATATTTAAGATAGTATATAATCGATGCGTTGATTAAACATACAATACGACGCTGAATAAAAATAAAACCATTCAAATATATCTACATATATAATGGGCCTGGTGACCTCCCAGAAAGCCTTTGCGCATAAAATCGCAATATTATATGTAAAATATAATAAGAAAAATAAAGTATAATTAACTTTTAGTTATAAAAATAAATAAACACGTGTTAAAAGTTTATAGGAACTTCCAAGTGAACAAGAATTACTCACTTAACAGACACTTAAAGTTTATTAACTGGGGTCTTAAATAGGATGACAATGCAAATTAAGGTATAACTGTAAAATACCTTAATACTATTACAATGGATTGAGTATAGGTCCCACCCATTGTCGACCCTTTCGAAAACAAAAGGCTCTCGACAATAAGGGGTCATTAATTAAAGAGAATCATTTAGTGTCACTGGCTTGTAACTTAATAATATATAACATAGCACCATATTTTAAAATGGAATTCCAATGTTATCTGTCGTTTCACAAACAAGCTTTTTAAACTGTTTAACAGCTTTCGATGATTTTTAAAGTTATACTTCTTTAGGGGCTTTATGAAAAATTTATGAGAGTGAAATTTTACGATGCGCGCGCACCGTGACACAAAATTAACCTAATGAAGTTGCCCACGGAAGATGCTAAGGCATTGGACATAATTTAAAAACAACATTCGAATAATAATAGAATTTATGTTACACTTAATGTAAGAGAATAATAATAAATATTTAATTATTAAATGTAAACTGAACTTTATTGACTATAATGACTCCTTTTCCAGTCTTTAATTATTTGATTGTAATTAATTATTTGCATGCAATCAATAACTATTTTTAATAATGCCAAAGAAGTATAACTTCTTACGCGCGTACATAAGTACACGCACCCTTTTTTAATCCAATACGACTTAGGATATAGAAAGCTTGAATCGTATGAGCTTCTCACTTTTGCACTTTTCAAAAAAAAAGGAAATCATAATTATTTCACTGTTTTGCCCAAATAGCACAAGTTCGATACCCTATCCAAGCTGAGTCAACTAGGAATACCACCATTTGTATTGCTATAAAACCGTGTCAATACTCTCATCCAAACGAAACCAGGGCATCTAGTATAAAAACAATGAAATAAAACATAACCACTTAATCACACGACTGTAACGGCTCGTGCCGCGACAGATGTTAACATACGTTGTTTGTTTTCTTACTTTGAGAGATATGTTTGTTATTTTTTCCAGCGGGAAGGCACTCCCCCCTCGTTCCAATTTTATTTATGTCACAAGAAATTAACTGTCGCGTTCGTACTTTCTTAGATAACTTGTAGCGTCCATTAGAAATCTTTATTTTAATTAAAAATTATTGCTCTTTAAATTAAAAGCTAAATTAAATTGTGCGCGCAACTGTGAAATGAACATGTCCTTTTAAATGTTTTATGTTTGTCATGTACTTTGAGTGCAAAGGGATAATTGAAGACTTCACAAAAAGCCGTTTAGAAGTAGATAGTAATGTCATAAATTCTCTACCGTTGAGAGTAATAACATTAAAGTTAATTGATTTTTGTTTGTAATTATAATACAGATATTGAATCTTTTAATTATATCTGGGTTAATTTTAATAAATACCAGTTATATAATATATTTAAACTTTAATTACAAATATAATATTTTATCATAAGTAAATATATATCAAATTAAACTTTGGTAAAGAGGTAAAGTATCCCTGATCCTGGCAACATTTCCGCGCTGTACCTATTGCGCGATGCTGATATGCTAAACTGATAGCTCTGTTTCTATGTTACTTTCCAACAGGAGCCTGCAATCGTCAACAAACGCACTTGTACTCCAAGAGTCATGACAAATAGTTTCCACTTCAAATGGAACAGAATTGTTGAATAAAATATTTTTATTTTGCTGCTTATAGTTCTTTCTTACAAATAGTCTAATTCATTCACACTATAATTTATTCTGTTATTAAATTGAAGTATAATAATTTGGCTTACTTTTTATCTCGCATAACTCCTCTAATAAAAGTAATTTAAATTAACCTAGGTACCTCTTTTATATGTGTCTCCTCCAGTATTTCGTGGATACCCATTACCCATATCTCAAAAACGGTCCATATTATTTTTAGATTCCAATAAATTGGTAGCCTAAAAGACCATCCAATATTTTCCGATTCTAGTTTTGATGTCGCTTAAAAATAATCCTAGATTTAGTCGGTCGAAGTGCCTTAAATTTTTTAAGTTAAAACAAAAGTTAAGAACTTCGCAATATATTTAAAACAAATGCATAATAAATCTTTATAAATGCGAGACATAAGTGGAACTGAATCTGTAAAGAGGGGGCTAAAAATGTCCGTCCTATTTCAGTTCCCCTGAAAATAGTTAATGAAATTTGTTTCCACGTTTACTTGGAATTGTACAATTTGTCTTCTGTTACAACTGTCTCAATATTAATGTTAGGAAATATATTTCGGTATAATTAAAGCATTTTTCTCATTAGAGTTTGATGTAAGATTTTAGACACGATATGAATTTCTCTTTGAGCCCTTTATAGAATGTTTTCTACTAAATCTATTAGTTTAAGTAGAATAAGAAAAAAATGTCGGTAAGGAAACTGTATAATATTAATAATATTTACCACGTTATACCAAACAATAACTGTTCCAAGT